TGACACATCAAATTAATCATCACAGTTGGGAAGACAGGGAAGTGGGAAAGTGTGTGTGTGTGCACGTACACACACAGTGGTAATTGTAGAGGGAGTAGGTAGAAGAGAGATGAAGTGCCTCAAACTAGAAAATGAAGAATTAATAATATTTGTTTTCAGAGATGGAAATAGCTAATCACTGATTAAAAGAATTAAAGTCAAGGTGCTGACCAGAGATGCGGTGACCTCCCAAAGCTTTTGTGGCACGTTCTCTGAGGCTCTCCGAAGGCCAGCCCTGCTGAGGATTAGGGGGGTTTCCTGGAACTTCCCAGCTCAGGATTCCCGGGCTCCATGCAGGGAATGTATGCTGTGGTATCCCAGCAGTAGCAACAATGGAGACCTATGACTAGGCCTGATGGGGCAAGAGGAGAGAGATGTTTCTGGAACCTGGAAAAGCCGTAATTGTAGCTCAGTGCCACCAAAAAACAGCTGTGGCTTTGAGGCGTAGCAAAGAACACAGTCACTGTCAGCCTGCAGAAAATAATTACCCTGACTTCATATTCTGCCCACCCTGCCAACCCCAATCAATTGCAGCCCATGGGCCACAGCTAACAGGAAGCTGAGGTGGGAAGCCCTTTCTGGCAGTTCAAAAAGATTAACTTTCCAGGGCTTAGAGTAAGGCAGGCAATGGTGAGAATGGATCTGGAGCAACAAATGCAGAATACCAAGCAAAGATGGCCTTTACATTCTTGAGGTTTTTAAACAAGTTACTAGACTTTAGTTCTTAAGAGTACTTTTAGGTGTACAGAAAAACTGAACAGAGAGTACAGAGTTCCCATACACTCCCTCTCCTCCACCCCCAACACTGGTTTGGTGCGTTCTTTGCAACTGAAGGAGTTCTGATACATTACTGCTAACCGAAGTCGTAATTTTCATTAGGATTCATGCTTTGTGTGGTACAGTTCTACCTTTCTGAGATTTTCACTGTAAAATAATTTCATCATTAGCTGCATTTTCGTGTCGAATTTTTCAAAAAGATTTTGCATTTCCTGAGTTATCTCACAGACTTGAGCATATCTGCTTGTTGTCTTTAGACCTGTGTGATGTGTGGACTGGAGCTGTGTAAGTATTTGGTTCAATCTTTCTTTCCCCCAGACCATTATAGACCCTGTAAGGGCCTACTTAGCCAGAGCGAGCCATTTTGTTGTTTATGCAGTAAACTTAGATTGAACCTGCCCCTTCCCCCC